AACGCGTCCCTGAGGCTGCAGCGCGTGCGCGTGGCTGATGAGGGCAGTTTCACCTGCTTTCTGAACATCCGGGACTTTGGCAGCGGCAGAGCTGCGGTCAGCCTGCAGGTGGCAGGTGAGAGCCGCGAAGGGGGTGTGTGTGCCCTCCCTTTGGCACACCCCTCATACTTCCCGCAGCCCCTTTACCCACTGACCCAGGGCTGACCCGTGTCCTCACAACCCCAGGCACCTTTCCCCTCCACTGTGTCCCGCTGCCCTTGCCTTACGTTGACCTCTGCCCTCTACCCTCTGCTCTCTTCCAGCCCCCTACTCAAAGCCCAGCATGACCCTGGAGCCCAACAAGGACCTGCGGCCCGGGGACACGGTGACCATCACGTGCTCCAGCTACCGGGGCTACCCCGAGGCCGAAGTGTTCTGGCAGGATGGGCAGGGTGCGCCCTTGACCGGCAACGTAACCACGTCGCAGACGGCTAAGGAGCAGGGCTTGTTCGACGTGCGCAGTGTCCTGAGGGTGGTGTTGGGCGCTAATGGCACCTACAGCTGCCTGGTGCGCAACCCCGTGCTGCAGCAGGACGCTCATGGCTCTGTCACCATTACACCGCATAGAAACCCCACAGGTTTTTGTTTTGTTTTCTTAAATGTCCCCCCTGGGGGTGGTGGTGGTCCTGTGTGCGGGGGTCACGGTATCTGAATCTAGCTCCATACCTTCAGTCTCTCGGAACAGTGAGATGCCTAATAATAATAACGGAAAAGGTAAACAGGGTGCATAGGCGGCGATCTAACCGTGGTGGGAGTGGGTGAGGGTGATGGTTACAGGTCCTCTCAGCTCTCTGGGTCCCCTGACTCCAGGGCTCTGGAAACCTCTAGAGAGAATGGAGAAGCATTCAGATCTCAGAAGAGAGTGGAAGGACAGGAGAGGGAAATGGATCCTGGTGGAAAGGGGAGTTTTGCTAGGGCTGGAGGCTGCTCTAGGCCGGGTCCCCCCCCCCCCCGGGATGGACCTTCTCAGGCCAAGGCTAAACTGCTGTGATTCTTGTCAGATTAGGGAGACTCCATGTCTGGAAGTGCTGAGGCTTAATCTGTTTTTAGGTCTGGGGAGAAAATGGGGAGGTGGAATGGGACCTGGGGGTTGATGGAGGAGCAGGATGCTGCGGGGTGGTAGCCCAGAGTGTCGGCGCCCCTCCTCACTGCCTGCCGCTCCAACCTCGCCCTCAGGCGCTGTGGAAGTCCAGGTTCCCGAAGACCCCGTGGTGGCCCTCGTGGGCACTGACGCCACCCTGCGCTG